ATTAAAAATTTCGTCAATCAACCAGCAAAAACATAATTAAATATTTATAGTATTAAATATTGCAGAGGATTATTTGGTATGGGTAGTTGTCTATACGTACTTCAAATTACCTACATCGTCAGTCAAAGATTAATATCTGCTCAAAATAATTTTTAGTGTACAAAATTTATTTTAGATAATTATTAAGTTACAAATTTATTAAATTAAAATGAAATGTTTCTTGTTTTTTCATATTATAAATTGCTTCTAATCAGGGAATAAATTTAATCGTCACTTTTTTTTTATGTGACAATTAAACATATTTCTTGATTAAATGCACTTAATAATACAAAAGAAAACAAAAATTTTATTTAAAAACAAAAAAAAATCATTCACTGTTTTTAAAAAAATTGTCTATCAAAAATAAAAAATATTTTATTCCGTAGTTATAAAAAGAAAAGATTAAATTGACATTAAAAAAACGAAAATAATTCATTCACTGAACATACTTTCTTCTTCACTTATAATTTCAGTGTTTTATAGAAAATTGAATATATATAATTTTTTGGATCTAAGCTTCGAGGATCAAGTTTAATCCTCGAAGCTGGAAAATTGTAAGCGCAGAGTCACATACATGAAAATACTAACTCCATGCTCTGCAACAATTTTTTAATTAATAATTTTATAGACGTTTCGAAATAATAATTTTAATTAATAATTTTGGTAACAAGCATAAAATTTTTAGATTTAGTTTTTGCACATTTATAGATATTGGAACAGTTTTACATTATACTCTGAAGTTAAGCCACCTTCAAGTGTCGATCAAATAAAATGTGTTTAAATGGTACTTTAGTGTCAAATCAACACTTAAGTGTGTATTGTAATTAAACTGCTTTTGAATAATTTTTTAAATACATTTTTTTGTTTAAATTAAAATACAATGAAAATAAAATCACAGATAATTATTATTTTGCATTGTAATTTAAATTTTGTTGTAATTTATTTTTTTTTCAAATTTATTTTTATTACATTTAAGTATCCTGAATTCCACTGTAGACTCATCAACGCATTTCAATATTTTAATTCGAGTTTAATCTTATATTTTTCTTTTTTTGGGTTCGTATTTATTGTGTACATTTAACAACCGTTATTGCTTATGAGTTTTTGTTTTGTCTTGTTTTTATATATATATACATATATATATTTAACAATATATATACATAAATTTATCTATATATATATAACTCTGTTACATTATTAATTTTTCAAATAATTTTTAATCCTGTTTACTTAGGTTTACAGTTCATATTATTTATATTACTTCAATTACTAAGCTTCTTCGTAATGCTTATACTACTTAATTGTATTTTTTATAGTAATTTAGTTAACATATATGAATTTCATTTCATAAAAAAAGAAACGTAAGTCCTTGTTGCTTTCAATTTAAATTAATTCCATTTTGTCATTACAGAAATTTTTTCCCACTGAATTTTATTTTGAAATATTTTAAGCAATAATTGCTTTCGATTGTCACTAAACACTAATAGCATTTAATAATGTATTTACTATTTTAGCATTATTTTTTTTTGTATTTATGTATAAGTAATTGCATATTAATTTAGAAAATAATGCTATGAATATTAAATCAATTTATTGTTTAATTTTTTTCCTTTTATTTTTCTTAATAATGAAATGAAGTATTTTATGTTGGCACCATGAAAAAAGCGTAAATATATATTTCATTTGTTTTATTTAATAAATATTTTTTATATTCCCTAATGTTAATATATTTTTTTTTGCTTGTATGAAGTAATTTTTTTTTTTGATTTTTTTATTTTCATTAGAAAATAATTAGTAGCATTTGCATTCAATCAGTTTGGTAATGCAAATTATTTAATAATTATTTATTTTTCATTGTAATAAAAGTTTTTTCTATAGTACAACGAACAACTTTTTGAGTTAAGTTATTTGAAAATTTTATATATATATATACATATTTATATATATGTATGAACAATTTTTTAAATATACAATTTATGCTTGAGTTATTAATTTACATGTTTTAATTATGTCAATTAAATAATTTGAAATTTAAATAACTAATTTAACATATTTTTTTTTAATTCAAAATGCAATTTGCTCAGTTTTGTGTTGATTTTTTTTTATTTTAATAATAAACAAACAATTGTGACTTTTTCAATTTAATTAAATTATAAAATTATGAATTGAATTTTTAAACAAAATTGCAACCAATTACTAATAAAAAAAAAAAGTATAATGTCATATATATTATATGTATATTTGATTTAAATATATATTGAATTTGTTATTAACAATCCGTTTGCTGTATGTTTGTTTTTTATATATTATTTTCCAATATTTAGTATTTTTCTCAGATACAAGTTTTTTACATATATTTTCAAATTACAATACACGTATAAAATTAATTCAAATAAATATATAAATAGCAAATATTTTAATATTGAATAATATATTAATATTAAATAATAATAATTAATATTAATATATATTAATACAAATATTAATATATATATTAAATATATCTCTGGTTATGTAGTAGTATATCTCTCCTTATGTAGTTGATCAATTTTCAAAGAAGTGTATAAAAATGAAAAGAAAAAATAATACAAACACTGACATAAAATAACATAAATAATAGGCATAACTTGACCAATATTTGGATTTCACTTTATATATATCATAAATGTACACAATGTTCAATATACATTGTTTAACTATTATACAAATATATTATAATATATGCATGCTAATATATTTAATATATATGTTTATATGTGTACATATATATTTATATGATAAAGATCTGCACATATGATTATATATGGTATATAAAAATAGAAACATACAACGCAACTGTTATACAGTGATGGCTAACGCGATGACTATAGCAACTGAAAGTGACCTTAATGTTAATATTATTGTGAATAATTTAATTTTATTAATTCTTATTAATAATTAAATTATTAATAATAAATTAATAATAAAATTACTAAAAATATTAATATTATTAATAATAATATTAATATTAATAATAAAGTTAATATATTAATAATATTATTAATATGTTAATATAAACACATCGACAAGATTTTGAAGCTGGGATTTTTTTCAACAGGAATTGGTCAAAACATAAATGCGATGCAAAAGTGTAAACGAAGTTTTAACCCAGGATTTAGCGACCTGAATATACCACATATTAAATAAAAATCCACTATATTTATGAAATGATTTTGTAAAGGTCTACTTGAAATATGTAGATATTTAGATGATATAGACATAATAATTCAAAATAAAAGTAAAGTAAAATAAAATAATTAAAAAAAAATTAAAAAACAAACAAAACAAAAAAAAACCAAAAAAATTTGACTGGAGTAAAATAATATAAAAAAAATCCAATTAAATAAAATAATATAAACTAAAATATAAATAAAAAAATTAAAATTATATATAATATAATAACGAATTAAATTAATATCAAGGCGAAGGAAGTCTAGAAGTCTGGTTCCTTATTGTTAGTCAACTTTAAGATTAACTTTAAAAATAAATAATTAAATAATAAGCAAAATCAAATAAAAAAAATGAAATAAAATAAATAATATAAATGAAAATAAAATAAAGTAAAATAAAATAAAATAAAACAAAATAAAATAAAATAAAATAAAATAAAATAAAATAAAATAAAATAAAATAAAATAAAATAAAATAAAATAAAATAAAATAGAATGAAATGAAATGAAATAAAACGAAATAAATAAAAAAAATAAAATTAAATAATATAAAATGAAAAAAAAAAAATAGATGAAAGAAAAAAATTTGTGAAAAAAATTAAATTAAATGAAATAAAAAAAATTAAATAAATAAATAAATCAAAAAATAAAATAAAATGAAATACAATAAAAAAAATAAAATAAAATAAAATAAAATAAAATAAAATAAAATAAAATAAAATAAAATAAAATAAAATAAAATAAAATAAAATAAAATGAAATAAGATAAAATAAAATAAAATAAACTAAAATAAAATAAAATAGTAAATTTTAAATTTGTTTCTCGACCAGGTTTTTTTTTAATAATGGTTTTTCTATATCTTTTATATTCGGCTACAGGTGACCTGTATTCTATTTAAATAAAATAAAAGAAATTAAAATATATGTAAAATACAATAAAAATAAATGATATTGTTTTACAGTAAATTAATATTTAATTTATTAAATACAGATTAATATTTATAAATACTTATATAAATTAACATTAAGAAACTATTGAGCAAAGTAATAAATAAAAAACTATTAAATAATAAATATATTAGTGTTTTACATTTTTGGTGCTAAAATAACATATAATCCCACATCCTCTTTTCATACAAACAATATTCACGTATTTAGTTTGAATTTATTTAGCCATCACTGTGTCAATATTACCTCCTGCTTTCATAATAAATGGTGTTTAGTAGTGAAAAAAGAAAACAACAAATCGCTGCATACTCCATGTATGCATGATATACTATGCACAACACAACACATTCACACACATATGCATATGTATGTACAGCCTCATATATTGTATCTGTGCTTTTTTTGCCTTATTTGTTTTAATAATTCAGCATACAAATGTGCATAAAATTTTATTAATTCAGAAACTGAAGTGTCACCAATTCAGACACGTTGTCCTTATAAAAATGCACCTGCATTGAGCCCCGTACGGTGTGAGCACATGTGTGTGTGTGTGTGTATGTGCGATATAGACTTAAAATGTTTACGTGTATGTATTAAGTAAAATGAATGCGCGAAGCTTACAAATATTTACACCTATACATCTATACAAATATACAAACGTACAAACACTTACATGCTCACTCATTTATAATTTGCAAGAGTTTTAAGAGTTTTAATTTGCAAATTAATGCATTTAACATTTTTTGCATTTTTTTTTATGTAAAAAATAATTAAAAATTTGAATTGTTTTTTTGTCTTCCTCTTCTTGGTTTACACGACTTAAAATTTACAATAACAAATCGTGTTGGGTTTTCTGTTTTGTTTTTGTCCTGCAGTGTTTTATCGATTAAACGAGTGTTGTGTTGCGTTTATTACTGTTGATGCTGCTATTGTTGCTATTGTTCTTGTGCCATTTATTAACATATTCCAGAGGTATTTCAATTTGTATCTGTTCCACGCCATCTGAGCAGCTATCGTTCATTCCGTCCGTAAGTGTGGCATTGTCGGGCGCTGTTAGTCGGTGCGTTGGCGTTGTGGGTGCAGTGCGAATTTGCATGTGCTTTGTTGCGGGCGCTGGTGCCAGCAGCACATCCTCCCTGGATTATAAACTCTCGACAAGCTGACTGGTACGCCGCTGGTTCGGATGATTTGCATTGAGGTAACTTTCCGAATAAACACTTTTAGCACGTGTGTCATAACGCAAACTGGAGCGTCGGATATCGATATCGAGAGGTAGGTGACGATCCCGCCACCAAGTGCAGAAAATGCATTGCAAAGTATTGCGAAATGCTTCCCGGAAATCACGGTTGAAATATGCGTAGATGAGTGGATTTAGTGTTGAATTAAAATACCCAATCCAAAATAATATTGCAACAACAATATCTGGAACTCTGCATTCATCGCATAAAGTTGTAATTGTGTACCTAAGGAGAGATTAAAACAAAGGTTAATGACTGGATGTTATATATATATTAAACTTTGGTTATATTAATGCATTATCTTAGTAATTAAAGAGTATCACTTTATTATACTCGATAATAATAATAGTAATAATATAATAATATTAAATATAAAGTATAAAATAATACATTAAAATAAATAATATAAAATTGATATCAATATGTGAATAAAAACAATAAATTTATTTGTTAATTATAAACAAAAATTTTCGTGATATTTATTTAAAATAGATAATTTGGGTCTACGTCGTAAACCAAGTTCAGTGTTTTTATAATATTTTATTATTATATAAATATTATTATTAATAATATTAAGGATTTTAAATTAAGTTATCATATTTTTTTAAACCTAATACCAGGTATATGCATGTTTTTTGTGAGTTAACTAATAGATGGCGTGAGCGAAAAGTATGCAATGTATTCATTTGTCATAAGTCATTTTAATCCTCTGACATTGAACCACAATCAAGTACAATGAAGCTAAAAATTAGCGTTTTTATTTGATCGTCCAGTGATTAAATCGAATTTTATGCTCAGTGTAAATGGAGTCACAGTCAGTTGTCAAATTGTTCTTTAACACCACATAAGAGAATTATTATTGTGTCAAATTGCGACAAGGTACGAAAGATAGAGATATCACGAAAAAATCGTGATTTTAACCTGATGAGGTGGATCTCTTAACACCAAGGTTGAATTGGTACCGAAAAAGTCCATGATTTGTGTCTGATGAGATCAGAACGGTATTGTGCATTAAAACTTTTAAAGTCCGCTAAAAAAGTGTAGATCGAAAGATGACCAAAACATATGGCAAAATGATTTTGTCACACTTCAATGCGCGGCACATGACAGTAAAACAGGAAAAATACACTTTGAAATCGCTTGGATGGGACATCCTTCCATACCGGCCGTACTCCCCAGACCTACCCTTATCTGACTGTCAGACCCCCTTGCATCAATGGGGCATGAGCGTACAGAGCAGCACTCATTTGGTAAATATTTCAAATTAGTCTTATTTAAGTGTGTAATGCAAGATAAGTTGAATCTGTTATCTAAACAGTAATTCTTTTATCTACTTTAGGAGTCGGTAAGATAGACTTAATAGTGTACCTTTAGAAATGGTAGTGGTGGTAATAATATTTATTGAAACTATTTAAGCAAATATAGGAACCGTGTGCCCCTGAAAACGAATACTTAATTCTAACAGAATACTGTCTGATTCAATTTGGAAAATGCCAGCACAATTATTGTCGTTTTCAATACTGCGTACAGGCTCCACTTGGGACTACTAGATAGGACTACTGGTCTAAACTGAGTAACTGCTGACTAATGAACTAATAATGCGTATAGCGAGTCCTATTCCCTGGACTTTTAGTTTGAGTTTTGCACTTGTCGCGCAGCAATGTCTTTTTTACCACAATTTAATGACTGATGGTGCTTCAACCAATCGAGCCAAAACTCGATTTTGCTATAAAATCGCCAACGTTTCATCATGGCAGGATGATTATAGGCAAATGATTAATAATATAGAGGCACTCGGTACTATCGACAGCGAGCGAGTAACCAGGCTGACTGGCGGCGGCTACCGGACGCTGCTAATGATAGTTCACGTCTATAATGGTCAACTAAGTAGGTTAGTAAGTATTACTTTAATATTTATGTATATATTGATACAATCATAATATACGGCATAAATCTGACATAAAAAACTATTGCAGTATTTTAATTATGATATATATACTTCTATATATATATCTTTCTTAACTGTACGAAGAATAACTGTTATTAGAATCATTGTTTAGAATATTTTAGAAATATCGAAGCTCATGGATATGTGGAAACATTTGGTTGTTCTTCAAAGTTTTTTCTACTTTTTTAGCGAAGTAATAAAAGTTTTAAAGCAAAAGAATAAATGTTACTTATATAAAATTAATTTCCTTAATGTCTGTTTTAAATATCTATGTACTTTCAAAGTATTTTAAAAATTATTTTAAAATAATTCAGTTAACCTTTAGTTTCGTAAGTTGGCATACTTTGTATAAACTTAAATATTGGTTAACATTTAAAGGTCAAAAATATGTGAAAAAGTTTTTGGAAGTTTGTTGAAAGTTTTTTTGAAATTGAATACTACTAATGTATTCTAAACTAAGTAAATTAATCCTTTCATTATAATTCCTTACAGCTTAAACTAAAGTTTAAGCTTTTCATTTGATATCAATAGCTTTTGATGACACCTCTATGGTTTGCCACATCAACTTTCAGTTAAATACCATATACAAATATTTTAACAAGGATCATAAAATTACTTTAGTTTATGGTAGCTTAATTGAAACAAAAAATAATTATTTTTTAATTAAAAGTATCTCAAAATAGTGGAGCTCAGTTTTCAAACGTTTTGAGTTACACAAAAAACAACTGCTACTGGCTAAGTACCCCATCAAGTGCATGAAATTACCTAACTTCAGGCAGCCAAATTGTGCAAAATAAAGTATTAAATTGCAGCTATGGCAAATTTTAATATTAAAAAATATTTTAAAATGCATTTCTGTGGAAATGCTTTTGTTGTAGAGATTTCTGTAATACAATATATTTCGGTCGACAGCCGCAAGAGAGTAAAAACTGAAAAACTGATTGCTACACATAACATACCTTAAGGTGATTTTTTATATATTTTTTTGTTGGTATAGAAAATTGTTTTAAATCCACAAACTTACCACAGAAAGAATGGCAGCCAACAAACTATAAAAGTGCCCATTATTATACCTAAAGTTCTTGCAGCCTTGTGTTCTCGTTTCATTTTGATTAAATGTTTATCCTTAGTGGGCGTATGATCCTGCTCGACTTCATGCAAAGTTAAAGTTTTTGATGAACCGGAACCGCTTAACGCTTCGCCTGCAGAAAATTAGCATAAAAAAGTTATTTAGTACATTGGTACAATGGTTCAGCCATTGTCTTAATTAATAAGGAACCAAACAGTGAGAGTTCTTAAATGAACAGCCGTCGAAGGCAGGTGCAAAAGTGCAAAAAGAGTTCAATTAATTTTTGCTTTCTTATTTTTTTTTTTTTTTGACAATAAAACACTTAAAGAAATGTTTTTTATACCATTCATTTTATCTACAATAAAAAACTTCTTTGCTTAACATCGCATATGTTAAGTTTGGTATGACAGACATGATTCTTCTAAAGGTGAGCTCAAAAAATCACTCATACGCCACGTATGCCGTTGAATGTTTGAACTTTAATGCTTTTCGACGGATACACAAAATACAAATTGCATTGCTTTTGGCTTGGAAGTGCGTGTATGGAAATGCTTAACATGTCAAAGTTTGCACATTAACCAACTTTAGTAAAACATATGCGTTCCATGTACCTGGCACACATGGCCAGAAACAAAACAATGGCACTTTTTTGTTAAGCGTCATTTAACTTTTTGCACCTGCCTTTCAATGCGCATTTAGCAAATCCATTGTGTTTTTTCTATATATACTGTACAGGCTGTTTTAGCAAAAAACTTTCTTAATTTTTATCACATGTTGGCATTTCTTGTCATTTCTATTTTTATTCCTTTTTGGATTTATTTTATTATTTAGCTTACCGCCTGCGCTCACACCCACTGATTGCCTATGCATCAGCATAGCGTTGCCTTGACGCATCATCAGTTGTTTCTCTTGTCGATTCGCTTCATGGAATATGGCCAAGTACGTGAATATCATAATGGTGCAAGGTATCCAGAACGAAATCGAACTGGAAACGATGCAGTATGGCTTATTCACAATGAACTCGCAGCGGTCTTTATGCGCCTCGACGAATCGCTTGTGATCCTCGGTCGTATACCAACCAATAAATATGGGCAGAAAGGACAGCAGTGCTGGTGATATCCATGTGTTTAGTATCATGATACCAACGACGCGCTTTGTCATGCTAATCGGATACTTGAGCGGCTTTACAATGGCATAGTATCTGCAAAAGTGAAGTAGAATGTGTTTGAATTCTAACAGAGATAAGTTTGCAAAGTTGATGAAAATCATTGAAAAGCGCAAATGGTACAGATGTACTGCAATCTGATTAAATGGAAAATTTCTCAATGTGAGAATGTAAATTCTTTCATTCTGATGAATGAATGAGTGTGAAGTTTGTATGAAATTAATTTGGATTGTAATTTTTTTCAAGATGCATGATAAGGTGATGTCTTGAGTTAAAATGAAATAAAATAAAATAATTAAATATGTTAGTTTAAGTCTCATTTGCATATTAATGCATAAATTACAAATTATTATATATATAAATTATATCATTTAATATTATATATGGTATTATTAGATAATTTATTGTTTTATTGACCAAATTTTATTTATAGATTTTTTAAATGAACTAGTTGATCAATGATAAATAACATATAAATTTTTTAAATAAATTTTAAAAAAATATATTTAATTGCTATCAATATTTCGACTATAGTCATTAGTCTTCAGTAATCAAAAAAAATATAAACTTTATAAAAATTAATTAATTTTCAGTTTATAAAATTTTAGTTGAAAAGTATATCAAAAAACTTTGGATAATGCCTTCAATACCCTGAAGATTGCTTTGAACTGTATTCGAACTATCGACTAATTTAAAAACTTTATGTGTTTTTTTTAACATAGATTAATTAGCCCTTTCAAAGCTAATTCGAGATACAAGCTGTTAGGAGGTAGTGAGTGCACTATACATCAACCACATCACAGTCTACACCATCATAAGGAGTTGACTGCGTAAAGACAATTTGATTGACCGAATTGCCTGTACTAAAATCCAACAAAATTGAACTATTTTTAAAGCGAATCCTTAGGGAGAATGAAAAATATATAAAATATGAGAATAACTAATGCAAATGTTATGTTCAAAGGACCCTCCATAAACGACTTCAAAGTCTATATTGACTGCAAATAAGTTTGAGGTTATGTCAAGTGTTTGAACGGGATTGGATGAGAATTGTCTATTACAAGCCACTCCAGCTAAGTGCAAGGTATCTCTACAGATGAAATGTTACATTCAATAAAAATAATAAGAATTAGATAATTAAAAAGGAGTTTTGTTCCATTATGACAATATCAGACCACATACATCTTTGATGACTCAAAAGAAATTAAAGGAATTTAATCAGGAAGTTTTAATGCATCCATAAGTTTTAAAACAGACATTGCATCATTTGGCTATTATTTCCTCTTTCATTAAATAAAAAAAATGGAAAAGTTATTAACGCAATATTAGCAAAGTAAGTAGAATTTCAAAAGAAAGGGAGCCTTATTGGGAAAGGCTACCAGGACTATCATAATCTAAAATGCTTTTAGGGACTTACAACCTAAAACGCTTATTGTTTTTTATTAATTGGGACTTGGGGAAACACTCTAATCCGACTAAGAGGTGGTATAGATCCTTTAGGTCGCAGAGCAGTATCTCTTTTCAAATAATAGTAACAATAAGTTGAGATTCAATAGATAAATATTTTTAAAACATCATAATAAAATAACCAGACCATTATCATAATAATAATGGTTCAAGATATATATATATATTTATTTATTTTAATATATTAAAACAAATTTTTTTTATTAAAATTTGCAAATTACCTATCCACTGATATGCAGCACAAGTGCAATATGCTCGCTGTTGAGAAGTAAACATCCAAACTGTTCCATAAATCACACAAGAAAGGACTAAATAGCCAACTGCAATGAAGAAAACAAATAAAATTTATATAAAATTGTAAAAACTATATAATTTTATTTATAATATTACATAAAAAATAATTTTTGAATCCATTAGTATCAATTTACATTACTCAAAATCACATTAGTCGCAGATAAGAGCTTTTAAAATTTAAAGAACCTAAAAGTATGTTTTACCTTAAAACCTTAAAAGGCTGAGACTCCATTAAATAGGCTTACAATTTCTTTTTTTTATTGGATAAAAACTTGATTCCCAAATGTAAACTTTCGACAACATTCTTTCGAATGGAAAATTATTCGAATCGTTTTTGGCAACAGGCACGATTTGCAAATGCATTGAAAGTTGTGCCTCGCATTGATTTCTGCAGTCTTTCATGGCTGAAAGTGCAAATAATGATTTCCAAATTGCAAAGCAGCAGAGCAAAATCGAAAAGTGGCACTTTAGTCTAGGCATAGAGCATGGAGCATGGAGCACATTTCGCAGGATAAAAGGCACAAGGCACAGGGCTGTTGGCACACCCACCAATCAAGCCCATTACTCACACTACCCACTGTGACCCAATTAAAACTCATTTTAAATTATGTCAATTTATTTATTTCTTGTTACTTTTTTCCTTTATTTTTACTATTTTTTTTCCTTTTTGTTTGCACATTACGAGCTCATAGCTTTTTAGGCGAAATTTATTAACAGCGCAGGATTTGGCGACATTTTGCCTATTTTTTCGTCGTCGATGTTCGAAGGAAGTTTGCAAAACTTTTGTTAGGCAAATGAGGTATGGCACCTGGCCCAACTGATACTGTCCTATTTTATTCATTACTTTTTATAAATTGGCACTGTTGATTATGCAATGAGCCAATGGGGCACTGTGGCACTGTGGCACTCTGGCACTATGGAAATGTGGCTCTGAGAACATCGAGGGGTGCTGCGAAATTTGCCTGCGAGTGAAAAGTTACTAAATGAAATGATTATGATATTGTTTGGAAAATATATCTGAGAAGCGGAGTAAAAAATATGAAACCTTGCAGTAATAAGTTCACTTCAGCTGAGGCAAAAGTTTTTCCTAATGCATAAAGTTACAAGTTGTTGGGTTTTATTTTTGCTACTCTTGCCTGCGTTTTTGCTGCTTTTTTGCTGCTCTTTGCTTAGCCGATAAAATCGCATCCTAATTAAGAAAAAAAACTTTAAAATAACATTATTTTTGAAAAAGGATAAAAATTGTTTTGTGGTTAATGGTAGGAGGTACATATTTATAATTCCCACTTATCTTGCTTTGGTACGCAAAACTTTTATTCATTAAAAACCATTTTAAAAGTTCTCGAGTTTATTTTTTGCTCACAAAAAGGATATGAAAAACCAATTTACTTTAAGTGTTGTGTGGTTGAGGTTTGTTTTTCCCCTCATTTTTCCCATTCTGCACTGTTGCCAACCTCAAACAATAGTTCATTTGCTTGAGTTTTATTTTTAAATAATTATGTTGCATTAGAGGCAGGTGCGTTTAGACTTTAAATAAAATTGGTTATCGTGTTTTGTCTTTTATACTCACAATGAACTTCAGTAATTTATTTTCCAAATTTATCATTAAATTATCAAATTTCTTCAGGCATTTTCGTATAAAAATCATTAACAAAAATAAATATTTTTTTTATTATTAAGGATATCAAGTGAGAATTACAGTAAATGCAACAATTAACGTTAAAGTAACTTTATATGGTTTATTCGCAAAATATATTTATTGGATTTTGTAATTAATTACATCGAAGTTTAGTTGTTGATAAGTTAGAAGATTGCTTAAGGTATTGTTTGCAAGAATTATGCTGAGTTTAATTGTTTTTCTTACAAGAAATATGAATATAATCTAGATAATCTCGAAAATCTTTAAGTAATTGGCAATTTAGGTAATTAAAATTAAATTCTAAATAGTATAAAATCCAGTATTCATGAAATATAAATACATTGCTTATTATTGTTTATAATAAATTATGTGCACAAAGTTGCATTCAAATAGCATACGACTAAAAACTACGAAGATCAGTTTAAACTGAAATCGAAAACCGGATAATCGGGCTTGGGTATGTAAACTCAACTCATCAAGCAGCGTTACAAAAATTCTGACAAACTTAATCTTTGCCATATATTAAGGATTTGTCAAAAAAAAACCCATTTACACCATTATGTGTGAAGGGAAACTCATACGTCACGTAATTTCATCGCTACTTAGAATATGTCAGATCTGTCGAATGCTCATATCACTTAGAGAATAGCAGCAAAGATGGCGCCAGTCCTCTAAGGGACGCTAGACCTATGCACTCATTCTCAACATTAAAGAATGGGTGATAAGAAAACTATGTGAAGTGGACTACAACCTGACTCAAATATTGAGAGGCCATGCAGGCTTTTTAGAATATCTTTAGAGAATTCAACTGGTAGATAGTCCAAACTACCCAAGCTGCCACAACGTCGCTGAAAGCATAGATCATGTAGTTTTTCGTTGCGACAGCTTTAAGGAGAACGAGACCTACTAATGGAGACTCTATGAGTTCTAGCAACATTGAGCATGAAATGTGTTCAAGCAGTTTTAAATGGAAGTCGGTGAAAACGTTTGAAACGAAATTATGCGGCACCGTAAACAGTTCGCATAAGCGAGAAGGATGTTCCCAAAAATAACAGCTAAAATGTGGCACAATTGGAAGGACGACAAATGAAAACACAAAGGCTGAAAATGTAGTTAATGAATTGATGACGAAAAAGTAATGTTTGAATTTCGTGCTCTCGGCGGGCTCTTGACGACATACCAAATCGGTGATCCAGAGATTGTAAAACGTCGGACAGGGGGTGATTTTAATGGGTTAAAGTCTCATACTGTTTACGCTTTCGATTGCTTTACATTTCGTTAAAAAAAGAAAGATCATATAATCATGCAATTGAATAAATATTAAAATTAAATAACATGACGATATTGATATACTATACTTCAATGAATTAATATCCAAGGGCTTAGTTAAGGCGTAAGAATGGGAAAAGAAATATGCTTGGAGCTGTAGTTGGAGAAAGAATTGGAAGAAGTAGACCATGTCTCTGGTGGGGTGATCAAGTCGAGCAAGCACTAATCGCACTTGATCAACGAGGCCAATAAGGTACATACGCAGCAGATTCACCAAAAGAATCATACCGCATTAGTCTGAAACTGGGTAACGGGTTGTTATGGCCATTTAAGTAAGTAAGTAAGTAACATACATATTATACATATATCTTAACGAATAAATAAGTTAATAGATAAGAAAAGATTAACAGGCAGAAGTAAGTCAACATATAGAAATAAGTTAACAGCTAGAAATAAGTTAACAGGCATAAGTAAGTTAACCGCAGAACTAAGTTAACAGGCAGATATAGCTTAACAGACAAGAAATAAGTTAACATGCATAAAAAGGTTAACAGTGAACAAATAAGTTAACAGACTAAGTAGTATTAACATAAACTGTTAATTTAAAGAAAAACTACATTTATGATCATGAAAATGTTATCTAGTTTGCAATATTACGTATATAATTACTCAAAAACTTATTTTACAATTTAATCTAGATATATTTAAAAACTCTAGTGCAAATATTAAAACAAATACAAATATAAATTATTTTATGTAAAATTATTTGAAACGTAAAACTAATTATATGCATTCATGAACAAAATTAAAATCTTAAATTAAATAAACTACATCTCGCATGCTTTAATAATATGTATATAAAAGAGTATTAAATAGCAGAACAACTTCATTTGCTCAGCAATGAAAACATTTAAATAGTCCTTCAACCTATTTGCCAGTTTAATTTGCTTTTGCTAAAAGTCTTTGGTAATTAAACGTTTTTATTGCACGGCGCCTGCAGCAGAGTTGAGTTAAAAATCATAAATTCGTTAGACGACTTTGTGCACAAAACCCATTTACTCGACGAGAAGAGGCGGCAAAAGGAGCGAGGAGCAAAGGATAAGCGAGCTAATATCCTTAAAAAAGTGATATGGCAACTACGTGGCAAATGTAAACATTAAATGAAATAGTCGAAAACAAGTGGAAAAACTTTACCGCACAAATAAAATGCTTTAGCACATAATCAAAAAATTGCTTGTCTGCAGTGAAAATAAAAATAAAAAATAAAAATAGAAAAATTTAAAATAAAAAACAAAAACCTAAATTTAAAACTTTATTTTGGCGTGTTTAATCCGTGTAAGCCATTAAAAATTGAAAAACCAAAATAAAAACCGAATAGTTTGTTTCACACATTTACCAATAGTCCCACCAGTCCCTTTGCAATGCAAGGTGCAGTGCGGGAAGGAGAACTAAGCCACCATTGCAAGGGCTGAGCTGATAAAAAGTTTTAATTCATTTTACATGCTCTTTTGCCTCGCTACGTTTTGGAGCGGTCATGCCAGAATAGTCAAATAGGAAAAATTAATCAGACTTAAGGGGACTATGGATTGGTATTCCATATTATAGAATTCCTTTGTTCTTTGAGGCAATTTTCAATTACTTCCACAAAAATTTGCGCTTATTGAGACTTTGTATTAAAAATAAAAATAACACCTAAAAAAACATTTAAAACATTAATTAAAATATCTTTATGGAATTATTATTTTCAGTTTAATTCTCTTTCTTATTTTTGAAATAAAATTTATATAAACAAAATTTAATGTAAAACTAAAACAAAAGAGACAGAAGTTTTAAAGCCATTGAAACAAAATAATATAAAATTATTTCATTTAAACTGATAGATCCTTTCAAATTGTGAGTAAATATAATTAATGTAATATATAATTTTATTACTACTTGATTGTAGCAGAAATAGAGACATGAAAATTATCCTGTATTTTCAGTACTTCAGAATATGAAAGTTAAAACAGCCTGGAACCAAAATTCAATTAAAGAATTAATATGGGCATTTTAGTTTGTTTTAATATTTTTTGATATAATAGTATCCCTCAATTGAAATATCCACATCACATACTCAGCCACACGTATTAAAAACCTATCTTTTGCGATAAAATTCTAATAAAAGTATCAAATGGAAAGTATTCTCATTTTATCAATAAAAATGTTAGCAACTAGATTAGTCCCAAAAGTCTTAAAACCGATCTGAGTGAGATACCACATAACATATACTAATATATACATAACATAAGCTAATCTTAAAAACCGCGATATTAGACAAAAGCGACGTAGTGAGAAAACTTGTTAATGAAAAGAAATATAGCATCTATATGAGGACGTAGAAGTTGGAATTGTACTCCATTGGAGCACAATTCATTGTAACATTTTACTTGTATAATGTGTAATATCCAGTATTTCAAATGAGATTAATAAAGTTTTATTAAAAAAATAATATGTGATGAAATTTGAAATAAAATAAAATAAAATAAAATAAAATAAAATAAAATAAAATAAAAGAAAAGAAAATAAAATAAAATAAAATAAAATAAAATAAAATAAAATAAAATAAAATAAAATTAAAATAAAATAAAATAAAATAAAATAAAATAAAATAAAAAAAAATAAAATAAATAAAATAAAATAAAATAAAATAAAATAAAATAAAATAAAATAAAATAAAATAAAATAAAATAAAATGAAATAAATAAGATAAATTAAATTAAAATAAAATAAAATTAAATAAAATAAAAAAGATAAATTAAATTAAAATAAAATAAAGTAAAATAGAATAAAATAGAATAAAAGAAAATAAATAAGAAAAAATAAAATAAAATAAAATAAAATAAAATAAAACAAAATAAATTAAAATAAAAATAATATAGCTTTTAATAAAATAGAAGAATGTAAAATGGAAATAAATGAATAAAAATAAATATTTATTTTTAAAAAGAAATAAACTGCATTGTGATAAAAAAATAAAATAATATTATTTAAGACGGAATTAAAAAAGGGAAAATTAATATAAAGGAAAATAAAATGAATTTAAATTAATACAGAATTAAATAATTTGAAAAAAGAATCAAGATAATTAAAAAATAAAAATAAAAAAGAACATTATTTTATTAAATCATGTGAAAAAAGAATAAATTGAATAGAAAACAGTAAACTACTTTAACTTAAAGCTAATTTAACCTAATTAACTAATTAAGAGAAAATAAGATAAATCATACAAACGAATTTTTTGAAGAAGGTATGCTATAATAACGTAATAATAAAGTAATAGTAAATAAGTCAACTACTAATATATTAAATAAATATTTTAATATACATTACTAGAAAATATTATATATAAAAAAATTTAAATAAATAATATGAAATAGATTAAAGCAAAATGAAATAGGAAAAAACGAAATTTATAAATATAGAAAATATAATGAAATAAAATAAAGTAAAAAAATTAAATCAACTGACAAAATATTTCATGATAAATATGATCATACTTAAATATAATAAAATAAAAAAAAATACAAAAATAATAATTTTAATGAAAATATAATATAATAAAGAAAAACAATATATAATTATATATATATATAAAATAATAAAATATATATATGTATATACATATAATAATAATATACAATAATTATATATAATGTATAATATATATATATAGAATGTGAAATAAAATAAAATAATATAAAGGAATATGTATATAAGAAAATAAAATTAAAAAAGTTAAAAGAATATGAAATAAGAGAAATGGAAACTGTAATTTGATGAAATATAATAAACGAAGTTAAAAAAATTAGAATAAAAGAAAATAAAATTAAATTATATAAGATAAATTAATATAATATAAGATAAATAAATTCAAACTAATAAAAATATATAATATGATGATACAAGGATATAAATCAATTTTCTATAATAAAATATAATATATCTATGTACGGACTATAAACTAATTAAGAAATTCGAATATTTCATAATACCACTGATGATGAGTATTTGACAATATACAAAATAGCGTTATAGGGTCAGAAAAATTTCAATAAATTAACTAAATTTTTGTGTTTGTCCTTTTTTTACTATTCGAAACCCTATTCTTTATCATTATAAGAAAGCGAAGCTTTATCTTATTAGAAGCTTATTAGTTTGATAAGTGATAACTTATTAAATAATATATAAATCCATTAAAATTAATTAAAAGTATATGTTACATGGAATTTAGAAACATTTTTCCAAAACAATATCACCGCTCCGTTTCGCGAACTAATGGGATTCCCCTTATTTTATTAGTGTGTTCACGATACTTATTTCCGCATTATTATTTTTGGTGGAACTTTCGTTAATTGTTGTAAATTTATTTACTAGTAGTGTTACTGCAAACACTACAACTGAACCAGAAATAACAAATACCATTTAAAGTTATGGACTATAAAGGTAAACGAGGGTACTTGCATAAATCACTATTTTTACTACTTCGCGTAAATTTCAAGAAAATTCAAGGAAATTCCTTAGCTCTGTTTTATATTGCCGTATATTTTCCACGAAAATTTTAAGAATTTCACACAAACTAATCTAGTACAATTTATAAATTTATTTTGAATTTGTTAAGCACTTTGAGCTTGCACATACTCAGAGCAGTATATACCTATATACTTGAGTGTGTATAGTATACCATATTAAATGTATCTTTAAATATATTATGTGATATATGTATAGTATGTATGAACTCGCACTTCAGATTCCCTTACCCATACACACTTTTTAGTGCAACTTTTTCTGCTCGTAAACGCAATTTCTGAGCTCATTTGCAATTTGCATTGTGTTGAAGGAGACGTTTGCATTTAGTTGCATATCTTTCGGTTTGCGTATGCAAATGCATAAATAAAAGCATTAAAATGCATGGCAAGTGAAAGTCATAGTAGTCATAAGACTGCACAGAACAAGACTTTGGTTCTGGCAACAGTCACAGTATTGTAGTTGATGTTGCCAACAAATGCAACAGCACTAAAAATAACAGCAACAACAATAATAGTGCTGTGCATCTTTGTAGAAGCAAACTGTGAGGAGTCTTCTTAAAGTTTTCGTCCTTTGGAGGAAAAAATTCATATTCAAGTGTTTCTTTTTCTGTAGATTTCATACTTGGCCGCAGCGTCACACACGTACTAATGAACGTGCTCAGAGGTGCATAAAGTTTGCAAATGAACACATGCTACCGCTGCCATGTGCGAAATTGCAGTTGCATTCACTGCACTCTCACAGCATTTCATTTATTTAAATGTGAAAAAAGTATATGTATATATATATATCTTTAAACGGTTTTTCAATTTGGTTTTTTGGAATTCATATTTCATGCACTACCAGCAACAAACAAAACCTTTAAATTTTTTTCTCCATATTATTTCTGAAATAAATTTCAAGTTTTTTACTTACCGCCCAGTTACTTGCACACTAAAGTTAAATGTCATGGCCATAATAGCGACCATAATATCAGCCATGGCTAGCGAGACTACGAAATAGTTGGTTATGATTCTGGAAAGAAACAAAGAAAGAAATAAAGATGAAAATAAAGTCGTAGAGGTAAATGAGAAAAATATTTAAAATGTAGCAACAACAGCAACAATACCAGAAACAACAACGACAACAACGACAACGATGATATATATATGCGAGAGAAAAATTTTAAATAAAATAAAGTGTAAAAAGTGTTTGCAATTCTAACGTTGATTTCTTACTGCTGGAAATCATGGCATGACTGTGAATGGGTCGTGAATGGTTTGAGTGGAACCAGACCATTCACCAGACCATTCACCAGACCATTCTGTGAAAGAAAGCTGAACGAAAAGGCGTTTAACTATTCAAAATGCTCTATTTTGTCTTAATGCGGCACGTAGGAGTCGGAAAGCAAGCGAATTATGAATCGTCTTCATTAGATTATAAAAGGTATCAGCTTTGCCAACTCGTCTCTGAAAACATTAGCAGCGCTAGATAGTTAAGGGCCCGGAATACTTGCACGTAGTAGGAAGTGCCGCGCGATAAGTTAAAAGTCAAGTGTAACACAAATTTGCATTTAAATTATGAAAATGAGACGAAACTTTTTGATGACATTTAAAATGATTTTTTACGTTTTGTTAAATAGCGTCAACGTCAACAAACAAGTGAATTTAATAATTTTTTATTCTGTATTTTTTTTTGCGAATAATGCAAAGTGCACTCTTGAGGAAAATAAAGTGATATTCTGGTTGTACTTCATTAATATCAGTTCTTTGACTAATCAAAAAATATTTTGTGATAAATTTTGTACAAATGAAGACGGTTCACAAAAGTGTCAGAAATTAAATTATCATATTTTTTGACTTGGTTTGGATTTATTTGGTAGGGACTTCTTTGGTGCGAAATGTTTAATTTCAAATTTTTTTTATTAACTACAATAAAAATAAATAAGATAAAATGTTTATTGTGTAATTAAAAACACAGAAATAATATTTGAGATTTTAAGAGTTTAGATTAAAAGCATTAATATTAATTATAATAAATTTTGTAGTCAATATAATAATTTATTTGTTGAAATTAGTATTTGGTCTATGGTTAAAATATAATCTTTGTTGTCCTTCGATTCTAACCGAAACTGAGACATCAATCTTTGTACCATTATTATAATAAATTATTTGTTGAAATTAGTATTCAGTCTATGGTTAAAATATAGTCTTTGTTGTCCTTCGATTCTAACCAAAACTGAGACATCAATCTTTGTACCATTATTATAATAAATTATTTGTTTGCTGTATACTTAAAATTTCGACTCCACTCGAAACTGAGATATCAATCTTTGTATTACTACTTTAATGCTAAAACTTATTAAATGATTCGATTATTAAATTCGATTTTAAAAGTCAATTATAGTAAAAGAACCATGTTTCCTAATAAAAACCATTATTAAAGATAAGCGCAATTTCTTCATGGCACCAAATGTTTTGACTCGGTTCACCAATGAATATAATTACTGTTAAAAATAATTTTTTTATTCTGTACTTGTAAATACAGTGATAAAAAATTATTATAATAGAAAGGATTTATTAATTAATATTTCAATATTATATTCAATATATAAATGGTTCTACAATAAGTAACAAACTGTGTTTTGTCTTCGTCAGTTATTTTCTTTTTTATTAGCGCGTCTTCTTTCTTACTGACTTTATATAATTTTTTGTTTGGCAGTTCAGCAATATATGATGTTGCCAGATCCCCTATATAGTAACATATATCCAAGAACATTAAAATTTGTGTTGTCTGTATCCTGGCACCAAACTTGGTAACTGTAGGCTAATCACCTGCATCTGCTAAAGCTTTCATCGATTCGACTACTCACAAGAAATAGTATTAATCGAACTCCTAACATGGTAGATTAGGAAAAGATGGAACGGAACGGAACGGAAAAGAAAAAGGACCTCATTAGGAATATGAGCCTACATTATATCAGAAAGGCAACTCTGCACAGCTTGCGGGGGCAACTCTGCATCGTTTGCGCTTCGAAGTACTAGGTTTTAGCGAAGTACAATGGAATGGGAGCAGCGAAATGAAAAACAACAGAGGTGGTCTACTATAGCTAAAAATTGTCAACTATGGTAAAACCTTGTTGTAAATCTTTGTGAACAGGTTGAGTTCTATGCATACAAATTGTACTGAACATGCTATAAAAAATAATAATAAAATTACATTACGCTATACAAGTAATTGAAAGTAATTTTACCCTTATACTAAATTACGTGTGTATGTATGAACAAAATTAAACATTGAATCACTAAATTACGAAAAGGAAAAATATTTGGCATTAAAAATATTATAAATTATATTCATAAATTCTTAATTTGGATTTTAATACTAATAATTAGGTAAAAATATCAATATTGGTTGTATATGCTCTAAAAGTAATTGGTAAAGTATTTAGCAATTACAAATTTACAAAAAATTAACAAATTGTGATTTATACTTTTAAAAAAATTTTTAATAATTCACAATTTATTTTATTTCATAAACATTATAAATGACTAAAAATCTATTTAGAATCTATAGCAGAATAAATTATTCTTGAACTAATTTACATACGCGTATAAAGAGAAATTACACTGTATTTTTGCAAGTCAATTTAACTTAATTATGTAAGGTGAATAAATTAATAGTTTTAAGTTAATTTAAGTTGTCACACTATTTATTTCATTATAAATACTTCATTAATTTGTATTTTAACTAAAAATTGAATGAAATTACATATTAGTATTGATGATTTATAATCATTATCTAAATATATGATTATTAATATTATTAATTACTTATGTCCAAATAAATAATTATATATTATTTAGATAATAATTATACTATATGTAAATTATACTGTTAATTTCATAACTTGTATTTCATTTTTTAACTTAGTTATTCATTTATGCAAATTAAATATAAAAATAGTATGATATTATATGACAAAACTAAGTTATTGAAATCAGTACAGATATTTTATAATAAGATTATAATTATATGTAAATTGATATTGATAATTTCATAATTTGTGCTCAATTTTTTTATTTAGTTATTCATTTGTATAAAATAATTGTAAAAATAGTATGGAATTATAAAAATAGAAACAATAAATAAATATTAAATAATAATTAAATAAAAATAATTTAACATATCATAATATAAATATTTTAAATTAAATATTTTATATTTGCGAGCTGTTATGTGTTAACTTATATATATGTATATATTGTTATTATTATTACAAGACAAATATTTAGTTATGTAAAATTGTGTCATATTGTATATATTAATCACTCTATATCTTAAAATATTAATTTGTCTACAGTTCTTTCGAAATTCCGTCATCAGTAAAAGAGTTTCTTAATATACACAACAGAAAACATTTATGTTGAAACATAATTTTTTGATTAATGAATTTAGTTTTCTTCTGACATTTAAGATATTTTTTTCTAAACCTAATTTTGAGGTCTATTTATTATAATTTTAAGTATCTTGCACTTTCTTTATATATATGTATTTCTGACTGTATGCAATAGAATTTCTTTAAAGATTTTTTTCTTTTGCCTGAAATGCATCTTATAAGAAATTTAGTTCCAAAGACATAAATTATACTGATGATGACACATAAAAAATCATTTCATCTTACTAATATATTACTCAATTTTATAATATAGAGAGAAAAACATTAAGATTGAGACATTATTTTTTGATTAATGTGATATTTTTTTTTCTTCTAAGACCTAATATTTAGTTTCATTAATTATTAATTCTAAACTTCTAAATATATGTGCTCTCTTCAAATATATATATTCGTAATTTCTTGCAAAAGTAACTCCTCGAAGATGGTTTTAAAACTAGAAGCATATTTTACGAAAGCAATTTCAAACACTTCAGTTCTTAAACGTGCTGACGATGGAATAAGATATTAGTTTATCTTATAAATATTTTACTATAATTTAAAATAAATTTCATTTTAATGACAGTTATGACGGTTGTGACTATTTTACATTAATAGAAACTATTGTATTTAATAGAAACATTTTAGTAGAGACAGAGAGACAGTAGTGGATTGTAACAACAAAATTTTTATTAGTTTTTAATTAATTGCATTTTTATTTAAACTAACAAATTAACAAAACTCTAAGTTCGAACAAACAAGTCAAGTACGGTTTTGGTAAATTAACTAATGAACACTGACTCTGAACTTTAAATTTGGCAGGGTATGAGTACAATCCTTGGTACTTGCAGTATAAAAAAACTTTTTATGAATTAAATATAAAAAATAATTGCAGGATCACTGATGATGCAAATTGGGTAATATTTGAAACTACAGCCAAAAATGCAATTAATTAAAAATAAATAAAAATTTTTGTTCTTACAATTCCTTACTATTCGAAACCTCACTATTACCAAATTTAATAATATGAAGAGAAAAATATTTTTTTTGTTTAATATAACAAAAATAAATTATAAGTGAAGGTACTGTGTGTTGTAGTGGGCTATAAGTGGTATAAGTTGTTATAAATTAGTATATAAAAATAATTAAAATTGTCAGTTTAATATTCGTATAACTTATTCGTATTGTAATATCATGGAGAACTTACATTAATAACTTAAAACTTTCCGTCATATAATTCCACCTATCTAAGTTTCATTTAAATTAATTATTAATGAAATTTCTACAATGAAGTTAATAATGCTTCAACATTTAAACAAAAGTAAAAATTTATTTATCTCATATTATTAAATTTATTTAACTAAAAAAAATACTTGAATAAAATAATTTTTAATTATGATATAAAAAGTGTCTCATTATTCCAAAACAAATTTATTTTGTTATGGCTTCTCAATGGATATTTAGTCATTTAAAAAGTTTATAAATTATTTTGTATTTGTTTTAGAAACATTAATGGACTTTCAGTAATGTACCAACATTTATAATAATATGGAGAATTTATTTATATCATATTGTTAAGTTAAATTTACATGTAAAAATA